AGATGTGAGAGTTAGCCAGTAACTATCTCTCTAGAGATAATGGGCTAGGCAGTGTTTAAATGAATACAATTTGTGTGTTGTTATTTCCGGGGCTAAGCTAGCTATGCGGGAGCCAGGTGGGATGAAAAGCAGACCTGCCCACTGCTCCGTCTACAAGATTACTTTGTTTTAAATAGGAAGGAGGAAAGCTGAGTATTCAGAGTGGAATATGTGGTGAGTAGATAATATGCTACAAAATTAGTTGTAAGACTGACACAGAGCTAGTTGGGTTTTATCACTAGCTTACTATCTACTTGAACATGATGAAATTTCTTCTTTCATAAAAACTTTAATTCATTACATCATAAGTTTTATATGGAGATCTTTTCATGAGAGGAAAGAAGCTAGTGAATAGCCTTCACTTTTATAATTCACTGTACTTAAAAATATACACCTCTAAGAACCTAGAAAACAAGGAGCTCTCATAAGTTATTGAAGACTTCATCATTTTTCATGTTTATTCTTTTTTTCAAAGTTTATTAAATTATGAAAGTTTCCATTTCCGCCCCTCCTCCCAGCACTCTCCCCTCCCCCGCTCCCCCTCCTCCTCCCTCTCCATCTCTAAGAGCAGTCAAGCCTTCCAGCCCTGTGGGAAGTTCAAGTTCCTCCCCCCTCCTTCCAGGTCCTGGAAGGTGAGTATCCGAACAGACTGGATCCCAAAAATCCAGTATATGCAGAGGAAACAAGTCCCAGTGTCATTGTCAGTGGCTTTTCAGAAAGTCTCAGGGCCAGCCACATTCAGAGAATCCGGCCACATTCAGAAAATCTGGTCGGATCACATGCTCGTTCAGTCCCAGTCCAACTGGCCTTGGTGAACTCTCATTGGATCAGTCCCCTTGTAACAGTGGGTGATCGCACCCCTCGCGGTCCTGAGTTTTTTTCATGTTCTTCCTCCTTCTGCTTCTCATTTGGACCATGGGGGGTTCAGTCCGGTGCTCCAATGTGGGTCTCCGTCTGTATCGCCATCCATCGTCAGATGAAGGATCTATGGTGATAAGTAAAATCTTCATCAGTATGGTTATAGGCCAAGGCCGGTTCAGGCACCCTCTCCTCTGTCTAGAGAACAGTCTGTGAATCTCTCCTTGGACCTGGGATCCCATTTATAATCAAGTCTCCTGTAAACCCTAAAATGACTCCCTTAGTTGAAATATATTCTTCCCTGATCTCATGTCCATCCTTCCTCCCTCCCCCATCCCAGTCCACCTAGCTTTCCCCATTCCTCCCTTACTCCCTTCTCTCTAACCCTCTCCCCTTCCAAAAACCCTCCCACCCCCCATGCACCCAAGGTTACTTGGGAATCTTGTCTATTTCCAATCTCCAGGTAGATAGCTACATGATTTTCAACAGGTTCACCTTCTTATTTAGCTTCTCTAGGATCACGAATAATAGGCTCAAAGACCTTTAATTATGGTTAGAATCCACATATGAGTGAATACATACCATATTCCTCTTTTTGCGTCTGGCTTACCTCACTCAGTAAAGCGTTTTCTATGTCCATCCATTTGCATGCAAAATTCAAGATGTCGTTTTTTTTACCGCTGAGTAGAACTCTAATGTGTATATGTTCCACCCCTTCTTTAACCATTCTTCTATTGAGGGGCACCTAGGTTGTTTCCAGGTTCTGGCTATTACAAATAGTGCTGCTATGAACATAGTTGAACAAATGCTTTTGTAGTATGATAGGGCATCTTAGAGTTTTTCAAAGTCTATTTTGGCTCATTTAAGAATTTCTTTCTATTGAGATTTAGGTAAAGAGTAAGCTCTCAACACAGGAAATCTGTGGGCTAAGCAAAAGTGTGTATATTCAAAGATTTCTTTCATGATATTTTGATGAATTTTTCCTGTTAATGACCTTAGCTTACAACCAGAAGGAACTGGCTCTCCTTTGTCTCCTGAGGGATCTTTTAGGAACTTTCATATTATAGTGTTGTCCTAGTCCCAGCAGGAAAGTGTTGTTTTGATTGTGTGTTTTCATGTCACTGAGCTCTGAATTGGGATTGATTCCTTGGGGATTTTCCCTTCAGAGGAACCTGGATCTACATAGGTATCAATCTCTTGGAGATCTCAGTATCTTACTCAGTTTGATGTGACTCTCAAGGCCTCATCCAAACTGTACCAGCATCTGACCTGCCTTTGCACCTTCATCACACAGTTTCTGGAATTCTCCTATGCTTTGAAAGTGAAAGACCTCAGAGACCAAACAGTTCTTTCTATTTTTCAGGATTCAAAAAGTCCAGTGGTTGAAGCCAGTTTTAAAGTAAGATCTCAGAAGTTCCAAAATCATAGGTATGTTTTTCCTGACTTTTGATTTTTTTAAATTAAAGTAACATTCTTTATTTTGTGGCTAGAAATAAAGAGGTGGTCTTGGAGGATGGGAGTCATATATACAGGTACAAAAGACCCAGATTCTATTTCCCAGGCTCTTCTCTATTTTACAAGATTAGATACAGAAGTTTCCAGTAGCTACATTTCAGCCGCCTCTGCTTAGAAAACACAACCGCTGACATAGCTGTTACCAAATGGGATGTTGCCACCAAATTGTGCTCATAAAACCTGAGAAACAAGTTCAAATGCTTAACCGACAGTTCTAGATAAAGTCATAAATAAATAAAGTCATAGATAATTAATTTATATTTAACACTGTTATTGAGCACACAGTAGCTGAATTTACCCTTATTTTATTTTTACTTGTCTCTAGGCTGAGACCCTTTGGTCACTTTACCAGCCTGAGCAGCATAGCAAGTCCTTAACTCAAAAAAGGACCCAACCTTAACTTAGATGTAATATTTCAATTTATTCATTTGGTTAACTAGCATTTAAATACTAGGAAATAAGTAAATCATCCAACAAATGACAAACAAAATAGTTTCTGTTACTTCCTTCATAAAATTTAGTCATTCTGCACATTTCAAATGGGGTATAAAGACTAGGGGAGTCTTTATACTTCTTTAATGCAATCCAAAATATGCTTAGATGAAATATACAATGAAACTGACTGCTGAAGCATTCAGAATTCACTCCAAGTCAGTCACCTTTAATTCTTGCAAATTTTCTTAGTTTTTATCCTACTTTATGTTAGGAAAATAGGTTGATACATGATGTGGGGTGGTTTGTGTCTTCTTGCTAAAACAATGAAAGGAGTTGGCAAGCTACATTCCTTCCAAGAATCTCTTCACCAATAAGCAACAATATTCGACTGAAACCTTTGGCTTTGAACCTGTCACTCCATCTCACCATGCCTCAGATTCTTCACATCTATATAAATCTATATCATCCATTCTGTGCCATAATCTTATCCATCCAACCATGCAATTATTGAATGAAGACATGGACACAAACATTTTAGAAGTTCTGGAACTGCTATTTTGAACAGTCTTTAAAACTGGACCCTCATGGAGGAAACTATATTTCAAGAGATATTGTGATGATTTTCCACAGAAACACATTTAGGAAAAATCCTAGAGAGGATTTGCTCTAGAATCTAGTGAGTAGAGATCAGAGAGACTTCTAAATGTTTTGCAACACATATGATCCCCATTCATTAATTTTCTAGCCCATTATGTTAATAACGTTGATGCTGAGAACTCTGGTCCCAAGAAAGTGTATAAATGAGCAAATTAATAGTTGTGTGATCTCCAGGGGCAACATGTACTTCGATTTTTAAATATGTTAAATCAGGACACTGTCTGCTAAAGAGACAGAGTACGGTGTCTGCTAAATTAGAAAGCATACAACTGTCAAAAGGAGAATGGGTGAGTTTAGCAGAATGTATTGCCTATTGGAGAGTTAATTAAAATATAACTGCTTGTACATATATGCACAAATAAAAATGTTGAAAACATAAAACACTAGGAAATTTATCTAAGAGCATAAAGAGGCAGGAAAATATACAAGGGTTTTATGGGAATATCGTTTATAAGGTGTCTCAAGCTGGCTGGACCAGTTTTTATAAATTCAGGCACACTGCTTGCATGACCATCTAAATAGGCCAGACTGACTGTGATGTCTTATTGTGTCTATATATAAAGCGTTCTTCTGCAAATTGATAGTGTTGGCTGTTTTCTTAGGCAAACTGAGGCCAAGCAGAAAGGAAGTGCTCTCCTATTTCTCATTTTTCTCCTCTTCTTTTCTCTTTCCACATTTATTCTCTTTCCTCTTCTTAGCCTGCTCCCACCCCCATTGTGAAGCAGGGACCAACAAAATCTTAAGTCTAAATGCTTCCAGAAGAGGAAAAATAACTGGAGAGTATGCTGCAAGGAAGTATACAATCCTTTCTCCAGCCCTGAATATACCCAAACACGCTGGGTCTGAATAGCTTGTACATAAGTTTAAGCTAATATTTTGGCGGGAAATGTAGACTCTTTTACACAAGATAACCATAGTCTATTTGATATTGATTTAAAAGCTTGAAAATTTATTTTAGGCCTTGGAATTGATGTTTTGTTCAATTTACCAAATGTTTATTTTTCTGTTCAAGGGACCATGGTGGGTTGAGTGAGCCAAGAAGGAATAAATACCATCACTGTTTCCAGGGTCTTAAATCAAGTTGAAATGCTGGGTGGCTGTATGGATAAATGTGTGATAATCAAGGTTTAAGTGCTTTAAAGTTACAAAGGGAGGAAGATTTAACTGTAATAGGACCAACAGAAAAAATTCTACACATGTACAGAGATATGTATTTGCATTAATATAATTTTGAAATAACCACATATTTAAAACATAAATGTTATAAATACTATATCTGCTATTTAGCTGTTCTATATTTCAGGAATAAACTTATAAGCATATTATAAAGTTTATTTTAAATCTGTGGATTTAGTCTGAAATTGACCAAGGTTTTTATTTCATTTCCAATACTATCTTTTTATGACTTTGGTCAATAGTCTTTTAATTATTAGTTAGTATAATCATTTTTGTTTTATAAGGATAGCTTTTTAGTACTCGTGAAAGGATACCATTTTTTTTACATGGGCAATGTGCTGGTGCTATAACAAGGTTTGTGGGAGGCACATGTCATGGAACGGTGTGAACACCAGTCCTCACACTCATGAACCAAAAAGGGATCCAGATATCAAATTTATCTGGAAAAAGAGTGTATAGAATATACTGCCACTGGAAATAACCTAATGCAAGATGGAAAAGTTCTCTTCTAGTTTTAATTTACAGAGAATTGTTTCATTTTTTTGGTTATTGAAAGTAGGTTCTTTTTTATATATTTTAATTTTTCCATTCAAAAATTTCCACTTCCTCACCTCCTCCCATTCCCCTCCCACTCTCCCACTCATCCATCTCCCCCCCCCTCCAATCTTAAGAGAGGGTAGGGTACCCTGCCTTGTGGGAAGTCCAAGGCCTTCCCCACTACCTCCAGGCCTAGGAAGCTTTGCATCCAAATAGACTAGGGTCCCAAAAAGCCAGTGCATGCAGTAGAAACAAGTCCCAGTGCCGTTATTAATGGCTTCCTAGTCAGCCCCCACTGTCAGCCACATTCAGAGAGTCCAGTTTGATCACATGCCCTTTCAGTCGTAGTCCAGCTGGATTTGGTGAGCTCCCATAAGATCAGGCACACAGTCTCAGTGGGTGGACCAACCCCTGTGGTCCTGACTTCCTTGCCCATCTTCTTCCTCCTTCTGCTCTTCAACTGGACCTTGGGAGCTCAGTCCAGTACTCTGAAGTGGGTCTCTGTCTCTATCTCCATCCATCGCCGGACAAAGGTTCTATGGTGATATTCGAGATATTCATCACTGTGACTACGGGACAAGGCCAGTTCAGGCACCTTCTCCTCTGCTGTCCAAGGACCTAGCAGAGGATATCCCTGTGGACACCTGGGATCCCCTCTAGAGCCAAGTCTCTTGCCAACCCTAAAATGGTTCCCTTAATGAAGATATCTTCTTCCCTGCTACTATATCCGCCCTTCCTCCATCTCAACACCCCCACCCTCCCAAGCTCTCCCCAATCCTTCCCTTCTCCCTTCTCTCTCCCTTTCTCCCTTTCCCTCTACCTCATCCCCATCCCCATGCTCCCAACTTTTGCCCGGTGATCTTGTCTGCTTCCAATTTCCAGGAGGATCTATATATGTTTTTCTTTGGGTTCACCTTATTATTTGGCTTCTCTAGGCTTGTGAACTATAGGCTCAATGTTCTTTGTTTATGGCTAGAATCCACTAACGAGTGAGTACATACCATAATCATCTTTTTGGGTCTGGGTTATCTCACTCAGGATAGTGATTTCTATTTCCATCCATTTGCATGCAAAATTCAGCATGTCACACTTTCTTTATCCATTCTTCCATCGAGGGGCATCTAGGTTGTTTCCAGTATCTGGCTAGTACAAATAATGCTGCTATGAACATTGTTGAACAAATGCTTTTGTAGTATGATTGGGAATCTCTTGGGTATATTCCCAAGAGTGGAATTGCTGGGTCCTGAGGGAGGTTGACTCCCAGTTTCCTGAGAAACCACCACACTGATTTCCAAAGTGGCTGCACAAGTTTGCATTCCCACCAGCAATGGATCAATATTCCCCTTTTTCCACATCCTCTCCAGCATAGGCTATCATTGGTTTTTTGATTTTAGCCATTCTGACAGGCATAAGATGGTATCTGAAAATTGTTTTGATTTGCATTTACGTGATCACTATGGAAGTTGAACATGTCCTTAAGTATCTTTTGGCCATTTGAACCTCTTCTGTTGAGAATTCTCTGTTCAGTTCAGTATCCCATTTTTTGAATTGGGTTATTTAGAATTTTAATGTCTAGTTTCTTGAGTTCTTTATATATTTTGAAGATCAGACCTTTGTCTGATGAGGGGTTGGTGAAGATATTTTCCCTTTCAGTAGGATGTCTTTTTGTCTTAATGACAGTGTCCTTTGCTTTACAGAAGCTTCCCAGTTTCAGGTTCTTTTCTCATACAGTATATCCTGATTACAGTTTTGCCTTTTTCTGCTTCTCCCCATTTCTTCCCACCTTCCCTTTTATCCCGATCTAGTCCCTTTCTCTCTCTTATTAGAAAAGAATAGACTTCTAAGAGATAGCAACAAACCATAAGATAAAATATACTAAGATAAAACAGACTATCACTTCAAAGTTGGACAAGGCAAACCTTCAGAAGGAATAGAGCCGAAGAGAAGGCACAAGAATCAAGAACCTACTTGTTCACACACTCAGACTTCCCATAAAAACAGTAAAATGGAAGTCATAATATATATGCAGAGGAGTGATGCAGAACTGTACAAGGCCCTGAGCTTGCTGCTGCAGTGTCTGTGAGTTCATACACGATTTGTTCAGCTAATTTAGAGGACCTAGTTCTCCTGGTGTCCTTATCCCCTGTGGGTCTCACACTCTTTCTACCTCCTCTTTTGCATGGTTCCATGAGCTCCAAGGGAAGGGATTTGATGAAGACATCTTATTTTTAGATGTGTGTTCCAGATTCTTCTTTTCTATGCATAATGTCTGGCTGTGACTCTGTATTTACTTCCATCTGCTGTAGGAATATTCTTTCGTGATGACCAAATAAGGAACTGATCTATGACTATAGCAGAATATCATCAAAAAATCGCTTGGGAGAGGGTTGAAGGGGAGGGGAGAGGCAGCGAGGGGAGCAGAGAAAAATGTAGAGCTCAATGAAAATCAGTAAAAAAGAACCCCCTTACCATCATTTTTAAAAGAACAGCAATATTTGGCTTTACCCTAGGTTTCTGGGCTATTTGGCCTCAAATTCTTGGTCTCCCAAGCTGACTCATGTGTGGGTTCCATCTTGTGGAGTGGGTTTCATGTCAAATTAGATATTGTTTAGCTACTCCAAGAAGTTTTGGGAAACCACTGTTCTAGCATATTTTGCAGGCAGAATAGCATTGCAGACAAAAAGGGTTGTGAATGAGTTGGTGTTTCCAATCCTCTCTTGGTATAATCAACCCCAGGGTGTTGATTTGAAGATAAAAATGTGTTAAATTCAAGTAAAGATTTTGGAGTAAGACATCGTGCGTAGTATACAATATTGCTTTCAATAGTCTACATGATTTAATTATGCACATATATAAGTTTTATGAAGCTTCTATTGAGATCAAATTATTAAGGTAGAGTAGGGCAAAGAAAGAAGAATGGATTCACATTGTTTTACTTCAGTTTTCTTTTCATGATTAGTGAAACTTGAGTAAAGTCTTGAAACTGATGCTGCCAGATAAAACCACATGAAAATGTGCACGTACATTCACTTTGAACTCAGAACTACAGATTGAGATTTGACTTTGACTATTGTTAATTATGTAGTTTCACTTAATACTGCCAAGTTACTATCTTCCTGATCTGTAAAATAGGCACTTTGTAGTCATTTCAAAGACCTTAACATTATAATAAAGTGAAAGGGTAGAACATGTGTCTTATACAGTGCATTCTCCATATATGTTAGTGCCCCATTTTTTGTAACTTCAAAATATCTTCTTTTATAGCTTCATGGCTCATTCTCTTTAACCATAAGGTGAAATTCAAGCTGACTTTAATGGAGAACAGTTCAGAAGTGACAGAATTCATCCTGTTGGGATTGACAGATGACCCCAACCTTCAGGTTCCTCTACTACTGATATTTTTATTCATCTACCTTGTCACTTTGATTGGTAATGGAGGAATGATGGTCATAATCTTCTCAGACTCCCACCTCCACACTCCCATGTACTTCTTCCTCAGTCACCTATCCTTTGTAGATCTGGGATACTCAACAGCCGTAGCTCCCAAGATGGTGGCTGCACTTCAGTCAGGGAACAAAGTCATCTCCTACAACGGGTGTGCAGCTCAGTTTTTCTTCTTTGTGGGTTTTGCCACTGTTGAGTGCTATCTTTTGGCTTCCATGGCTTATGACCGCCATGCGGCAGTGTGTAGGCCTCTTCATTACACCACCACCATGACAACGGGTATTTGTGCCATCCTGACCCTTGGCTCTTATGCCTGTGGCTTCCTCAACGCCTCAATCCATGCAGCAGATACCTTCAGACTATCCTTCTGTGGTTCTAATAAAATTAATCATTTTTTCTGTGACATACCCCCACTCCTGGCCCTTGCATGTTCCAATACACACATCAGTAAACTTGTTGTCTTTTTTGTTGTGGGATTCAATGTCTTTTTTACCCTCCTTGTAATTCTCATCTCTTACCTTTTCATATACATTGCTATTCAAAGTATGAAGTCTTCTGAGGGACGAAAGAAAGCTTTCTCCACCTGTGCTTCTCACCTCACTGCCGTGTCCATCTTCTATGGCACAATCATCTTCATGTACTTGCAGCCCAGTTCTGCTCAGTCCATGGACACAGACAAAATAGCATCTGTGTTCTACACTGTAGTGATTCCCATGCTGAACCCCTTGATCTACAGCCTGAGGAACAAAGAAGTGAAAAGTGCCCTCTGGAAAATACTCAAAATACATTACCCTCAGTCTTTTAATGTGAGTTGGAAGTAGTTAGGTAAGTAAGGGCTACATCTCCTGAGCCATTAAGACTTTTGAAGTCTGAAGAATTTCAGTTCTGCCTTCCCCATGAATAGTGGTTATTTCAGTGGTTTAAGAAGCAGCACTTGGAAGAGAAGATCATTCTGTAGAACAAACATAACCTGGACGTTTACAACTTCTTGAGCAATGCTCATGATGTGGTTTAAAGCAGATCAAAGCACACAGGTGAATGTGATAAATTTCCAATACTCTGTTTCTATTTGCAAGAAAAAATTACAATTAAATTTAGTATAAGAACCATGTCTTCAATTTTATTCGTATTTTCTGCGTGTATTTTAGTGTGCATTTGCACATATGTGTGTAGGTGCATATGCCTGTGCATTTTCATACAGAGGTCTGAAGTCAAATTTGAGTATTGTTCATCAACTTATTTGATCTATCATCTATCTATCTATCTATCTATCTATCTATCTATCTATCTATCATCTTGAGACAGTGTCTGTCATTGAACACAGAACCCACCAAACTGACTAGTAAACTCCCCAGATTTGCTCGTCTGTACTTTCTCAGTTCTAGGGCTACAGGCATATACTGCCCTGCTTACTTTTTATGTGGATACTGGTGATCTGAATA